TTTGCAGGGCCATGCAGGATCTGGCCACTGTTTTAGGGGTCGCCGAATAAAGCAGCAAGATTCCCGCGCATGGTACGGATATTCCTTAACGCGCTTAGCCAGCGCAGGCAAGCGCCACAGGCGGGAAAGTATGTTGGTCAGCAGCTTTTGCCTTCAATTGCACAGCACTTTCCGCAGGTGACTCCCACAAGAGCAACCCTGCATCCAAGAGCAACCTAGGGTCCTCTGGCATGATGCCTAGGTCCCTTCCTTCGCGTGTGCCTCCAAGAACTTAAGCGCACTTGACAGAAAACGTTTGGGCCATGTCGCCCTGGCAAGAGTGAAGCTCTCCTTAAAGAAGTGCTCGCAAGACTGTCTTAAACGATACTAATCAAAAGCTGAACTTGCGTCGGCATGTGGCCTTCACAGAAGGGTTCTTGACACAAGAAGTGCGGGGTAACCATATTGCCCTTGCGGGGTAAAGAAGACGACAAGGAACCCGAAGAAGCAACACCCATGCTTCCAGTCATTTGGAACCTCACCCCTGTCCCAGTTCGTGTTGTAGAACTCCAAAGCCTTATCGTGTTGTCGTCGTCTAGGAGTCTAAACAGCAAATTAGGGGCCCCATCAGGTCCTGGGGCCTTCTGCGGCTCCGGCTTGAGCTTGGCAAGAGCAGACTGTAACTCTTCCAAGGTGAAGGCATTGTGGTCAGAGAGTTGTGGTCTCAGATTTCTGCGACCCCTCAATTCCCTGAAGTCCTCGTGTGTGCTCTGGTATGCTGCCTCCATTGCTTTTGCTCTAAGTGGTTGCGGGAGGCTGAATCGGCTGGAGACCACGGCTACCTTAAAGAAAGTGCGCACAAAATTGTCCTAATCGATCCACACAAACTTAACCTTGTACCGGAAGTTGTAAGCCGCGAACTTTCAGTGGTGACAAGAGCCCCTGCGTCGATCAGAGCTGTGCAACGTTCGTGAGAGTAGTCACTCTAAGAGCCTAAATGGCTACCGACCTACCTGATGTCGACACTCAGCAGCGACTCTGCTCTCTGCTGCGGACTTGAGACAGTGCAAAGCGAGGCGTACAATTTGCAGCACTGGGCTGTTCCCGAACCTCGTTCCAGTCTATGCCCAGCTGCGATGGCAAGAGGCAACCATCGCACGTGGGACAGGAGTGTTGCTTGGCATCTGGGCTTTGACACCTGGCCGGCTTGCGAAGCGCACCGCGTAATGTAGTCTGATCTCGGTGTCTCGCGCTGCAAGAAGAGCCTGAAGGATGCAGGTAGCTGTTTCACGACTCTTTCACAAGCACATCCATTAATTGCGATTTGGGCAAGCCATCCCGAAAGCGGTTTCAGGGATGGTATGCAGATAGGGGCCCCGAAGAAACGATACTCCTGAAACTGTCCTCGACACTAACGTTTCAGCGGCAAGCCGAGCAGGCCGGCGTAAGGCGTATGGGGGAGGATCGTACACAGCCTACGGCAGAGGCTGTCGAACCCCCCCGGCCTTCGTCAAGGCTTTTGTCGAACTTCCGTGACAACTTCTGTGGGGATCCGGAAATCTTCGGTGAAGTTCCATGGCCAGCCTGCCTTTTGGCCGCCCCAATATCCCGAACGCCTTTTCAGGATTCGGGCTTAATACAGAAGGCGATGGGGAGCCAAAACAAACAAACTTTCCTCAGCAATGCGCAAAGCTCAGTTGCAGGAGCTTGGAGGGTGTCCGCCGAAGCCTGTGCTTGCGGCTAGTTTCTCGAGTCAGCAGAATCAGCAGAGCAACGCCTGAAAAAGATGCAACCGCCCAGTGGGTTGCGGGCTGGTTGCGGGTAGGTTTGCCTCGCCCCTTAAGATAAGAGCTTCCCCTTGGCCGACGATGCGGAAGAAAATCTGGCAACAAGGCCGGGTGCTTCTGGAGCTATCCTCTGCGAGAGGAGCTCCATCAACGATTCCGTTTGCCAGGGACCAGCGGTTCTTCTAGGTATTCCCAGAATCCCACCTTGCACTTTATCTGAGGAAAGCCATCATCCCGAATGCCGTTTCAGGTTTGGTACAGTTGGCGATGGGGAACCCAAACAAACGAACTTGCCTCAGCGATCCGCAAAGTTGTAGGAGCTTGGCGGGCACCTCCTGGTCCGACGGTTGTTTGAAGAGCTGCTTGGCTGCGGCGTCAAAGCTTGTGAGGGAGGGGAGCCACGACGACTCGTCTATCATCGTATATCATTTAGCAGCGTAGCCAATACTTGTTTACAGTATCGCTGCAGCTCCGACGTGTGCTCCACCCTGCTACAAAGGGCATGTATCAAAGGAGCCTTTGCGGAGCTTGCCGGCCGTCCGCCCAGGCCTGTGTTTGCGGCTAGTTGCTCAAGTCAGCAGAATCAGCAGAGCAACTGCCTGGAAAAGTTGCAAACTCCCTGTGGTTGCGGGCTGGTTGCGGGTAGGTTTGTCTCGCCGTTTAAGATAAGGGGTTGCGCTGGGGATTGGCCTATGATACGGAGGGTGCTTCTAGAACTATGCCCTGCGACAAGAGCACCATCAACGATTCCGTTTGCCCTGGGACAACGGTTCCTCTAAGTATTCCCAGAATCGCACCTTGCACTTTTATCTCAAGCAACGAACAGCGATCCGCAAAGTTGTAGGAGCTTGGCGGGCACCTCCTGGTCCGACGGTTGTTTGAAGAGCTGCTTGGCTGCGGCGTCAAAGCTTGTGAGGGAGGGGAGCCACGACGACTCGTCTATCATCGTATATCATTTAGCAGCGTAGCCAATACTTGTTTACAGTATCGCTGCAGCTCCGACGTGTGCTCCACCCTGCTACAAAGGGCATGTATCAAAGGAGCCTTTGCGGAGCTTGCCGGCCGTCCGCCCAGGCCTGTGTTTGCGGCTAGTTGCTCAAGTCAGCAGAATCAGCAGAGCAACTGCCTGGAAAAGTTGCAAACTCCCTGTGGTTGCGGGCTGGTTGCGGGTAGGTTTGTCTCGCCGTTTAAGATAAGGGGTTGCGCTGGGGATTGGCCTATGATACGGAGGGTGCTTCTAGAGCTATGCCCTGCGACAAGAGCACCATCAACGATTCCGTTTGCCATGGGACAACGGTTCCTCTAAGTATTCCCAGAATCGCACCTTGCACTTTTATCTCAAGCAACGAACAGCGATCCACAAAGCTTGGTTAGGAGCTTGGGGGCTACCTCCTGGTCCGATAGTTGTTTGCCGAACCGATTGGGTGCGGCATCAGAGCGTGTGAGGGAAGGGAGCGACGACACGTCGATCATCGTGTGTCACTTAGATCGTAGCCACTACTTGTGCACAATATCGCTGCAGCCCAGATGGATGCTCCAGTCCGATGCAGCGGGCCTCGTGCCAAAACCGTAGGCACTGGCTTGTTCCCAAAGCGTTGTTCCAGTCAACGTCCAGCCCGATCAAGCTGCTTGCGAAGCCAAAAATTGGCGGCACGTCACCACCTGTTTAGGCTTGCACCGTGTCCGCGGTTCACAGGCACGAAATACCACATTGCAGAGGGTATGTATCGTTGCCCGGGTTTTGCAATAGGCCTGCTTGTTGTTCTCTTGCCTCAGACATTCCAGAGGTACGTAACAATATAGGCGCTACAGAGGTCTGTGCCAGACGGGGGATTGCGCGGACAGAACCGATGGCTTTGCAAGGGACGGGGTTCGTACGCATTCCCCACTTAAGGGCCGCACCTACGGCTTCACGACGATTGGCGTCCGTCACCTCTCCCTACTTTTGATGCTGCAAGCTCTCGTTGCGGGCGTAGTCAGTGCCTTTTTTGGAAACGAGTGGGTAGATGCGCCGAAGCCCTGAAGATAAGGGCTTGCGCCGGGCATTGGCCTACGATACGGAAGAAAATCTGGCAAAAAGGCCGGGTGCTTCTGGAGCTATCCTCTGCGAGAGGAGCTCCATCAACGATTCCGTTTGCCAGGGACCAGCGGTTCTTCTAGGTATTCCCAGAATCCCACCTTGCACTTTATCTGAGGAAAGCCATCATCCCGAACGCCGTTTCAGGTTTGGTGCAGAAGGCGATGGGGAACCCAAACAAACGCACTTGCCTCAGCGATCCGCAAATCTCAGTTATAGGAGCTTGGCGGGTACCTCCTGGTCCGATGGTTGTTTGCCGAACCGCTTGGGTGCGGCATCAGAGCGTGTGAGGGAAGGGAGCGACGACACGTCGATCATCGTCCGAGACTTAGTCCAAAAGCTTTCATTCAAGTTTTGGCCACCCACTAGTCCAAAAGCTTCCATTCAAGTTTTGGGTTTTCGTCTGCGCTTCGTTGACAATAGTCGCGTCTGAGACTTTTCTCAGCCAATGAGCTACCGTGTTCCTGCATGTACCCGCCCATAAGGCCCTACTCTACACAGTAGGAGTGTCACTAAAGCATCACATTGGCGATTAGTGCTCTTGCCCAGATCTGCCTAGACACGGAATTGCTGCTTGCGTCGCCTGAGACTCTTGTGACTAGAGTGAGAGAGGGGATGCGGCTTCAGAAAAGAGCGCCTACTTTGTATTCTTTGGCGTGCCTACATTGTCGTGCGACGTGCCCTTCACCATTTGGAGCATCACGTGCGTTTCGTCAGGCTGAAACTCGTCGAAGCAGCATGGGCATGAGCCGAGCTGCGTTTCTTTCTTTTCTCTGCTGTTTACAGCACGGACTGTTGACCTACTGTTCCGCACCGATTGCCGGGAAGGCCGGTTTGAAGCTCAACCCAGTGGAATGCGGGACTGTCGAGCTTGCCCGCGACTCTTTTGTGCAGGAAGGCCGCTTGCTCAGCTCTGCGCAGCTCTACTTGACGCGCGCTCAATGTGTTCGCCCAGCCTTTGTCGCAGCTGGGGCAGCCAGTTGGTAATTAAGTTTCTCTGTGTGGCTGTGAGCCTGGATGTGCTTTGCTCGCGCTAGCCGAGTCTGCAAGAGGCCATATCACGGCTTCGCTTGCTAGCCCTATGACCTTCCCTGCACTTGCGAGCGCGCACCATCGGACAGGTTGGAGCTCCATACTGCAGTGCGTGAACAGCACACATGCAAGTCGTGCTCTTGAGTGCCTCCAGCAGGTGCTGGGCATGTGTTGTGATGTCTGGACAGGTGCGCTTGGCCCTCTGCCAGGTCTTTTTGAAGACGGTGCTCTTTTCCGCTCATCTCCCGGCCATGGCAACGGCAACTTGCTCTGCCAATACGCAGCCTTGCAACCTGAGTCGTGCGGCCGCCTTAGCTGGGTCAGGGCGATCTGATGCCAAAAGGCAAATCGAAGATGAGAGGGTTTGGAGGTTGCGTGGCCTACGTGCCGATGGCATAGATTCCGAGGCTATGTCAAAGTGGCGAAAGTGGCAGAAAGTAGCCGTCTGACCCTTGCACAGCCAGGTTTCTGCCTCCAGCATCATATGGATGTGGCGCCCATGAGCCACGCAGCTCCACATGACCGCCCATGCCAGCATCTAGTACCAAAGCCAGTTGTACTCTCTAAGTCACACTGCAGCACACAATGCAAGTGGGCCAATGAAACGCCCCCTTTTTGCGACAGCCTAGCAGGACCTCGGGCTACTTAGTGTGAAGCAAGCCGAATTCACGAGGTCCCGGGCCTCAATGTCAGAGGCCTGAAAACTGCACTTGGAGGTGTTGTCTGGAAAAGCGTACTTGGCGGCAGGTATCGTGAGTGGAGCAAAACTCACCCGACAGTGAGCCAAGCCTTTGAGTATCCCAATCTCAACGCCGACTTCAATCGATCGTCGTCGTGCTGTTCCTTGGGGGTTGAGTATCAGATGCCTCACTGAATGATCTGTCTCATGTCTCGTCTGGCACCGCTGTTCTTTGCAGCAAGAGGTGATTGCAAGGACCCTGCCGCGGCCCCCTAGTTGCACTCTTTTCCTTAGTAGCTTCTCATGTTTCACGCTTGATCCTCATGCAGCCCGCGGGTTCTGCAGTCAAACAGAGGAGGAGGACAACACCAGCTGTACTGGGCGAGCAGGAAGTAGTCACAAGCAGTCCTTACTTTGCGGTGGCGTCTTGCCTTGACCCCAGGCCCAGGGCTTTCAGGGACAAGGTAGTGATAAAACAGAAGCCCATGAAAACAATCAGGTTCAAAATGCAGCGTGGCCGTGTGTTGCCCAGTCAACTGAAGAGGGTGTCTAAGACCCCTCGTCTGCGGGCGTTTGGCATGTGTTGTGATGTCGGGACAGGTGCTCTTTGCCCAGCGCCAGGCTTTTGAAGACGGTGCTCTTTTCTGCTCATCTCCCGGTCATGGCAACGGCAACTTGCTATGCCACTACGCCGCCTTAGCTGGGTCATCATGTTTCACGCTTGCTCCTCATGCAGCTCGCGGGTTCTGCAGTCGCTCATCTCCCGGCCTTGGCAACGGCAACTTGCTCGGCCAATACGCCACCTTGCAACCTGAGTCGTGCGGCTGCCTCAGCTGGCTCAGGGCGATCTGATGCCCAAGGCAACTCGAAGACGAAAGGGTTTGCAGGTTGCGCGGGCTGCGTGCCGATGGCATAGATTCCGAGGCTATGTCAAAGTGGCGAAAGTGCGCACTGCAATTGGGCATTCCTGCAATAATTGTCACCCACGCTGGTCCTTTGTCTCCGCACCCCGAGTTCACACGCACCCGCAATCTTGGCAAAGTCCACTTGGGGTTCGGTGTAACTTTCAGAATCTTTCAGACACCTACAGGGCATAGCATATCTTGGACGCAAGACATGCAAAATCGCCTGAGGGCACGTGGCACCATGCTCTGAGGTCACTGGAAGACGGGGCCCTGACCTGTGAGGTGAAAGGCGAGGCTCCTGAGGGCCCAGCGGGGCTGGCCAACCCTAGGCGCGGCCCGGGTATGTTGGTGAAAGCGGTACGTGTGAGGGGTCTAGGGGCCCCAGGGTACGTCCTCAGGGGATGCTTTAGTCACACTCTATAGATGGCTTGCTCAGATTCTCGCCGATTCACCTCGGACACGGCAATGGCCCTATAGGGGTCAATCTTGAAGCCCGCATGTACGACACGCCGCAGGTTGACTGCCAGTCCTGTGTGTAGCTCAGCCGCTGCGAACGCCCAAGCCTCGGAACAAGTGAGCCCGAGGCCATGTGCGAATTCCGTGGCCAGGACAATGATCGCTTGGAGTCACTACTTGTGGTGCGGCACTGTGCCAAAGCCATGAAGCTTCGTGCTCCCGATGCGAAGCAGCGAGTGCCCTGGTCGCAAGCACCTGCTTCTGGGCCCACTTATGCCCACTTGGTTCACTTGGTGGACGCCGTGCTTGAAGCAAAGGGAATGCGAATGCCTCGCCTCGAAACGGTTGGATCCTGCCAGTGAGGCATTAGGATACCACTGTCGTATGGCACGCCGCCGGTGTCGTCGGAGGCGGCCCAGGAATGCCAAGAGTGTCAGTGTCGGGCCGGAAGTGTGAAGTGGGCACGTGAAGCCTTCCACACCCTGATGCAGACGTTCTCCCGTGCCGCATCTCTGCCTATAATTCAGAATTCCCGTGGTTGCGGGTAGGTTTACAACACCTTTCAGATAAGGGGTTGTGCTGGGCATGGGCCTACCAGTAGGAATAAAAATTTTAGCGATGAATCAAGGAGGACATGAAAGTGAGGCTGGCCACCTCGATCACTGGAACTTGCCGCAGAAGCATGAGCCATCCGAGCTGCGCTTCTTTCTTTTCTCTTCTGTTTGCGCAGCACCGAGTCTATTTTTGACCTTGCAACTGTTCCGGATTGCCAGGAAGGCCGGCGTCAAGCTTCATCAATCCTGTGGACTGCGGGAATGTCGAGCTTGCGACTATTTTTTGCAATGAAGACAACAGGTTGGAGCTCCATACTGCAGTGCGTGAACAGACGCCGCCTTGCAACCTGAGTCGTGCGGCCGCCTTAGCTGGCTCAGGGCGATCTGATGCCAAAGGCAAGTCGAACATGAGAGGGTTTTGCGGTTACTTGGGCTACGTGCCGATGGCATGGATTCTGAGGCTATGTCAAAGTGGCGAATGTGGCAGTGGCAGAAAGTAGCGATCTACCCCGTGCATGGACAGGTTTCTGCCTCCAGCACCACACGGAGGCGCTCGCTCATGAGCCGAGCTCCGAACGACCGCCCATGCCAGCGTCTAGTAACACTGAAGAACACACACATACACACACATACACACACTGCACGTTTGAAGTGAAAAGCTGCGTGGAACTCCCATCTCAAGGGCGGGGCCAAAGAGGCACCGCAGCCCCTTGAGAGCAGCTTCTCATCCTTCACGCTTGCTCCTCGGGCAGCTCGTCTGCAGTCAAAAAGGGAGGACGGGAGAGCAATAAGAAGTCGCAAGTAGTCCTGACGTTGTGGTTGGGTCTTGATTTGGCCCCAGGGCCTCTCAGGGCAAGGGACAAGGTAGTGACAAAACGAAAGCCCATGAACGCCATAAGGCTGAACATGCAGCGTGGCACTTGTTGCACGTTGCACAGTCAACTGGCGATAGTGAACCCAGCATGGTGGACTGGATGTTCCATTGCATGCCAGTTCTGTGTGTGATACATACAACGTGCTATCTACGTCGCTGCGTAGAGTACGGAAATTCATCCACTTTTTTCATGCTGTTCTTCCCAAGCTACAAGCATGACGACCGAGAGATGGAACGATAAAGTTAGAAGAAAGAACAGAACCACCGTTCCCCTAAGCCATTACCAGTTTTCAAAAGCCAATACATGTTTGGGTATACATATGCATAGATATTCCGAACCACTGCCCACAGAAGGCTGCTCCATCGGTTTCCCGAAGCTCGGAGTAGTAAGCCCCTACGGCATGAATCTCGACCCCGCATTGCGTCACCAAGCAATGCCCTAAGCCTGCTGAAGCTTCGGATCGTGCCGACAAGCCGAGGTTGTTGTTTTTTCACCATCAAGAAAACCCCAGAAGATCACGGGAGAGCCGCCATAGTCACAGTCCTATCCGAGTTCCAAAAGCAAAGCTACCCTCATGTTAACCGACTGGCAGATAGCTTTGCTTCAAGGATTCCAAAAAGCCCCACGCTTTAAATCGGGTTTGCAAAGCAGAAACCACCCCGGGAGTTGGGTGGGAAGCCCTTCCACGACGCAAAAAAGAAGCCTTCAGCCAGCTTTCCAGCCTTGACGGTTAGTGGTGCCCATCTGCAGGCATTCGGCCGAAAGGACAAGAACATTCACAGAACAAACCTTAAGCCTTAAGCCTGAAGCTTGCGTACCGCAGCTTGGGCCGCTTCCAGCCGGTTCGAGACGCCCCATAGCCTGATCTCAAACCTTTGATAGCTTCACGCGTTTTTTGAGGTTAAGGTGTGCCTTGCAGAGCTTCTTTGAACTTCGTTGTTTCCAATTGCTTCGATCAGTGATCGATAGACGCGTTTCCATCAAGCATGCTGAGGGGCGACATGTCCTAGCCAAGTATGAGCCGAGTCTAGACGAGTGATGTGTTGCATGCCGTTCCCAACAACACATTCATGTCAAAGCACCACAACAAGCTGCACCACAACAAGCTGCCATGTTGAAGAGCAATGTCCATGTTTCAGAGCAAGCCCCATGGCCATGCAGCGGGCAGACCGCCGGCTCCGGATCAGCGGTTTAGGGGATATCCAGCCAGGTATACAGCGACACAGGAGATTGAGTTGCCTCGCTTTTGTTGATACGATGACCCGCATCTTTGTTGAGCATCGGCCGTCGCACACACAGGACGAAGATGCAGATGACAGCGAGGACGATAGAGCTTACAGTGTGTTACCGTACTTTTTTTTTTGTGTGTGCTGTGTGTGGGTGTGTGTGTGTGTGTTGTGTGTTGTGTGTTGTGTTGTGTTGTGTTGTGTTGTGTTGTGTGGTGTGGTGTGGTGTGGTGTGGTGTGGTGTTGTGTTGTGTTGTGTTGTGGTGTGGTGTGGTGTGTTGTGTTGTGTTGTGTTGTGTTGTGTTGTGTTGTGTTGTGTTGTGTTGTGTTGTGTTGTGTTGTGTTGTGTTGTGTTGTGTTGTGTTGTGTTGTGTTGTGTTGTGTTGTGTTGTGTTGTGTTGTGTGTGTGTGTTGGTTGTGTGTGTTGTGGGTTGCGGGTTGGGGGTTCTGTGTGTTCTGTGTGGTTCTGTGTGGTTCTGTGTGTTCTGTGTGGTTCTGTGTGGTTCTGTGTGTTCTGTGTGTTCTGTGTGGTTCTGTGTGGTTCTGTGTGTTCTGTGTGTTCTGTGTGGTTCTGTGTGTTCTGTGTGTTCTGTGTGTTCTGTGTGTTCTGTGTGTTCTGTGTGTTCTGTGTGTTCTGTGTGGTTCTGTGTGTTCTGTGTGGTTCTGTGTGGTTCTGTGTGTTCTGTGTGTTCTGTGTGGTTCTGTGTGTTCTGTGTGTTCTGTGTGGTTCTGTGTGTTCTGTGTTCTGTGTGGTTCTGTGTGTTCTGTGTGTTCTGTGTGGTTCTGTGTGTTCTGTGTTCTGTGTGGTCTGTGTGGTCTGTCTGGTCTGTCTGGTCTGTGTGGTCTGTGTCTGTCTGTGTGTCTGTGTGTCTGCCTGTGTGTCTGTCTGTGTGTCTGTCTTTCACCTGCTTGTTGAGCATCCATGAGCACAGGGCTGCAGCCTGCCTATCATACGGTGTGAGGATGACCACGTGATCTGCACAGAGTCTCTCGATGATCACATGGCCTTGGGCGAAGAGTACGAGGAGGAGCGGGTGCCAAAGGACGATGTAGGGTGGTAGGGGCCCGACGCGCAGAGGCTTTTCGGGTTAGCTTGTTACCCGGGTAACCCCCCACACAACCCACCCCCACCCCCACCCACCGAGTTCCCTTAGTTTAGCAAACGCCTCTCATCTGACAAAGAACCTGCGCGTGGAGCAGTCGTATGAGAGTTCATGCATTCAATTTACCTTTGCATGGTGTAAGCCAAGAACCGTCGCTACAGAGTCGGAGCAGGTGGATGATGAGGCAGAGCTACGAGCAGACAGGGATCAGCAGATTCTGCAAGAGGCCAGGCGGCCAGGCATCTTGAGCTTTAACACCCGTCTGCCTCTGCCCGTCAGGCTTGTCTGCCGGTCTCTGGCGCCCCAATGCCACCCAGCGAGGGTCCACCCAAGGAGCCTCGTGCTTGTTCATGTGTCATTCAAGCGCTCTTCAGCATTCTTCATCTCACTTCTTCTTGACACCCCCGTGGGTATGTGATTGCACGCATGTCTGTCCTGAGAGGACGCCGACGAATACCTGCGTCAAGTGCAGTGGGAGCGACTGCATTGTCCAGAGGCAAGGGGTTCATCAAAGCCGTTGCACGAAGCTACGGACATGCAAACTGAGAACGTGCGCTGTTGAAGGGCGTCATGTTGCAGGAACTTGCTTGCTGTGTCCAGTTATACGGCAGCTTCAGGGCTTTGAAGCAGCTGCGAATGGCCTGGCAAACTGCGTTGCTTACATGTGATCGACTTCTGTTAAGAAATCACGTACATATTGATCTAAGATCCATCAATTGAATCAAAATGTTGCACAATTGATTCGAGCCTGCTGCCTATATAGTCTATAGTCACCACAGAGATTGAGTTGCACGACAACCTGGGAGATTGTCGACGTGGATGTGAAGGAGCGGCAGTCGAAGCGAAGAGTGCCTCGTCGCATGAAAGCCCTGTTCTTCGTTCGAAAAGGCCCTTGGGCATCAACAGGTGGGACATGGTCGCATGAAGCCGCTAAGTGACTTCTTGCGGTCCCGATGTGAGTTTAGGATAGCTTGCTGATAACGTGCCTAAATGCTGATAACGTGCCTGAAAGCCCCCTCCCTCCTCTTACATCGGCAGACGGTTTTGCCGCACTGTGAATCAAGTCCCCATCCTGGTTTTCAGAGTCAAGGTTGGCGGACCCCTCACTGGCAAGGATGGCGCAGGGGGCCTCCTCTCTTTGTTCCAGGCACCGGAGGTTCCAGCGCGCTTCCGCCACGCGGAGGCCTGAAAAGCAAAGTTCGGTGCGCATTGGGTGTGGCTAAGATACTAGTAGAAGGGATTGGGCTGTAGAGGAGGGTCTTCCCTGGCAGGGCTTGGAAGATGTCCGGCCATTGCAGCAAGCATTTGGAGCTGAGGTGTTTGCAGAGTTTGCAATAGATGAAACCATGTAACTTCCCGTGCAACCCCAACCCCTAAGTTTCCTAAACCTGTAAAACCAGTGAGGGGTGTCAGGCATGGGCCTCGGATGCTGCTGCTTCGTTTCGGCACCTCCGGGGCCAATGCGAGCGCCAGAAGGCAGGGAACGGAGCGCAATCGCTCTCCTACGAGGCGCAGGGGGTTTAGGGTTCCCCCACCAAAAGCATCGCAGCATCGCCCATAAGCATATCAGCACCGGCAATGGTCTTCTCCTACAAGTCCTCATGTCAAGAAGCGCGAAAGATGCATATCCAGGAGTGGCGGCGGCATGTCGCAAAGGATCGACCTGACTCCCAGCTCATCGCGGCACAGGACTTCGTAGGAATCAACCACCTTGTGGTGCCTTGTCACTGTCAGTCCTTTGAAGATGGGCTCGCTTAGCGTAGGATGTTTTTGCAGGCATTTTGCGCATAGGTGGTGGCCATCGATAAGTTCGAGGCTGACTTCGAGCCTCTTGACTGTCAGAGACTGCCTCAGCTGCGCCACTGCCCATTCACCGACTCGACATCCCAGGGCCTTCCAGCAAGCCGCGCCAGACGCCGAAGGTGGGTTCCTGTCTGGCTTTCAAAGTGAAGGCCTGGCGCAAGTGCTTGCTGGGCGCTGAGTGCTTGGGGATTATTAGGGCCGGTTTCAGAATAGGGGGTGGAAGTACTGAGGCTTGAGCTCAATACAGGGCTTGGGAGTGGCATGGCTTCTTGGGCTTTCGCGTGGGGCTTCGTTGCTGGTTCCGCTATGACGTGCCATCCTCTGACCTTGAGCCCGTCGCGTTGGGTTTTTCTGAGGCTCTGGAGGCATAAGGGTTTAGGGTTGCTGCCAGGGTTTAGGGCTTTAGGGTACCAAGGCTCAGCCAAGAATGCCAGCTCGAGAGAATGTTTTTTGTGAGTAGTTTGGCGTTTTCTGCGAGCTGCAGCCACCTCTACCAGCTTCTCCTGACCAGGTATCGACTCTGTCAGCGAGTGGATATTTGCGGCACTGGCGTTCGTGGAGGAACCTTTGGTAGTGCGGCTCTCAGATTTGCAAGCCTGTTACTCAGAATGGTACGTCGAGTGGCAATAATGTGATGTAGTGAAACTGAGTATCAAGGTTTCCCTCTCCCTCCAAGATGTAGAACTTCCGGAACATGAAACCCCTCAAGCGCACAGGTACGGGGTAATATGCAAGCTTCGTGTGTTTGTGCATTTACATAGTATTACATGGTATAAATACAGATATGTACATGTAGACTTTGGTTTTTAATGATTTTAATGTGTATGCGTTTATCTTTATATATGTACGTAGGACTCTTGTGCTCTATTTGGCGGGTGCTCTGTTCGATTTAAAAAGTTGAAAGCGATTAAAAGTGCGAAACGGTTCTAAAGCGGTTAAACTGTTTAAAGCGTTTAAGCTGCAAATCCTTTCGAAAACTCCCAAACTGCAGGATTTTAAGTGTTTAACGTGTTTAAACAGTTTGAAGTGCTTAAACTGCAAAGAAATCCTTTGGAAAACCCACGATCTCCGAGATTTAAAGTGTTTTGAAGTGTACTATTGTGTAAACTGGTTGAACCGCCAAAGTGTGTAAGCTGCAAGTCCTTATTTACACTCCGTGATCTCCGTGAGAGCGTTAGCAGTGTTGAAAACTGCAAGTTTTAAGCTGCAGCTTGACGGGCCGCGACAAGTTTCGTGCATCGTTCCATGGCGGGGGCTCACGGCCACCACTAGTTGACATTGCCCCACTTGTCCCACTTCCCCACTTGCCTTTCGGAAGAGCTAATCGACGTTGCCCCACTTGCCCCACTTGGTGGCCGCAGAGCTAATTGATTTTGCCCCACCTGCCCCACTTGCCTTTCCCCATCTTTCCCCCCCTCCCGCATCCTGAAGGTGAAGAAAGTGGGAGGACGTAGGGTAAGTGGGGCAAGGGGGCAAGTGTTGCAAGTGGCATCCCCAAACCCTTCCGTCTTTGAGGCAGACCTGTGGCTAGGGCAAGCACGGGTTGTGGAGATGCCGCAAGTCTGCCCCAAAGACAGCCCGACTTGAGGCAGACTTGTAGTTCGGGCACACGCACGAGGCAAGCTATCCTGGCGGGGATCCATGGTGTGGGGAGAAGGAGGCACAGCAAGTCTGAAAAACAGCCCGACTTGAGGCAGACTTGTCGGGCCGCAAGGGGGCCTGCCGGGGTCAGGGAGGGAGGGGTGTTGTCTTGGGGTTGGCCTGTTAATATACACTTGCCTTACTTGGCTTTAACCTTTACAATACAAAATCAAATTACGATTCATAACGAATGGGGGCCAGAGGAGGATTTCATAGGGTGTGGTCGGCAATATAGAATTCCAAATAGTTAATAACCAATGAGGCTTAGAAGAGGATGTCTTGGGGCGCCTCTTAATATGTTTGTTTTGCTCAGGATTTCGTAGGGTGTGGCCATTAAGTATAGAATTTTTTTCTTAGGGTGTGGGCTTCTTATATAGACGCAGTTTTTAAATAACGTAGGAAGGAAGCCCAGATGAGAATTTCTGAGGCTGTAACCTCTGCATAGAAAGTAGAACTCTATGAGGTTTATTTACGGACAGGCAGGCCCCAGAAGAGGATTTCATAGGGTGCGGCTTTGAATAGGCAAATCTAGATTTCTAAACAAATTGTATCGCGAATGAGGCCAGAGGATTTCTGAGAGAGATCTAAGGGTGTCGCCTTTCAATATAAATTCCGAAGTAGGTTTCAATATCACTTTGATCTGCCCGGAAGGCTTTCCGACCTAGATCATGGGGCTGGGGGGGGGGGGGGGGGGGAGCATACATATTTATATATCTTCATATATATTTATATATACATACATACATACATACATACATACATACATACATACATACATACATACATACGCATATATATGTATACATATCTTTATATACATATATATATATATACACGTTTTTCTATCTATCTATATATATGTATGTATGTACAAACTGATTCTGTTCTCCAAAAGATGACAGGACGACATTCAATACCAGCTGCAGCGACTGCGCCGCCTTTGCTGCCGCTTTGCCGAGGGCACGGCATCTAAGGACTCCTGGCTTACAACAGTCCTGAGCCCGAACTTAGCAACCCCAGGGTTTAGGGCTTAGGGTTTAGGGCTTAGGGTTCAAACCTTTCGTACGAGTTGTTACCAAAAACCCTGAGCACTGAACCGACGAGGAAATAATGCCAAACCTACGAAGCACCGTACAGACCAAGACCTGCCTTGGAGCTTTTGCAGTGCCTGCTAGATAGCCGGGAAATTCTCAAAACCCTGCACAGCCCGAATCCCAGCCCCTAGCTTGAAACGCATGAATTTGAGGAACAGCTAGAGTGCAAAGTTCCTGAAAGCGGAGCAAGCGATTGTCTTATGCCAATTGCGGGTCTGTACTGAATGAAAGATGTTGGAGCTCATACCTGGGTCAGCCTACATCAGTTGATGGTGGGTTTGGTTACTTGTATTTCGAATCAAGGGTATGCGTGGCACGGCAAACAGGTTGGAAGCGACCTGGACACAGGCGCAGGATGCTTGGGAACATGAGATTTTCACCTTCTGCGCACCCGATTGACCCTAGTAAGCCACGACCCCAAGAGACGCCTCTCGGGCAGGTGCTGCTGGAGCAACGTGTGCTTTCCTCCATCCGCGGGTGGCACTGCTGCTGGTCCTCGTGTCCGAGGTCTTTGGGCAGCCTTGCACTCAGCAAACGAACCTGTACCAAATTGCAAATCAGCCTGCGCGAATGCAGCTTCGAGGCGCAGCATACAACCATACTGCACGCGACGCATCACTTAGGCACTGACAGGTTCGCCATGCCCGTGCCACTGGAAAAAGAGACAGCGCTGCCTGACGCAAGAAAAGATCACGAGCGTCAAGTGCACAGAAGGCGGCAACCCTGTGGCGTGCAGAAAAAGATTTCGTCAGTAAGCATCCCGATCTATGCTCTATATCGGGAGCTGCTTCATGCTAGAAAGCCATTGCCGCTCGCAATTGCCACGACACTCGAGTTGAACTGCAAAGATGAAAAGATGAAAAGATGAGAATCTGCCAGGGTCGACAGTGAAAACCCAAGCAGTGCAAAAACCGTCAGCCAATTGAGGTTCAGCGTAGCGCAGGTGGCTTGATATGTAGGTGATGTAGTGGGCGGGCTTTCTGTTCAAGACACGCTCTGTTTCGGTGGAAGTCTCAGGCCTCATGAGGAAGCAGGTTCTGCGGAAGTGGCAAGACCTGGGGGGAAAGATTGGGCCATGAGAGCGCTGTTGCAACAGTTTTTAGGGCCTTATCCTTGAGGCAGGATCCTGTCCGCTCTTTGTGCTACGAGCCAGTAGGGTCCAGCGAGACATATGTGTGTATTGAGTATATATAGATGGGGATACATACCTGAGCTTTTTTGTTGTTGTTGTTGCTCTTCGGTGCTTGTATAGGATATCTGGGCTTGAACTGATGGAACGGCTTCACCGGGGCACCATGCTCGGGGCCGATGGCCATGGCCGACGGTGGTGTCGGTGCCGATGCGGCTCCAGAGTTGGCATGGACAGCAAGTTTGATGCTATGCAGTCAAGTTCCTCAGCCGATTCGATGTCTCCCCCTCCGCCCCCCCCACCCAACGGTCCAGCCTGTTGCTGGATGTATGGCGTCTTTGCGAAGGCTATCACCGAATATGGGTTGCGACAAGAGTGGCGGCAGGCAACACACCTGCTGGCAGCAGGGCTCTCAACTTTCGGTAGGTCTGGCCGTGGTTGTTTTGCTGATAGTTGCACTGCACGATGTCTAAGGTCGCGAATGAAGAAAGTCTTGCTCCAGATCTCCAGTTCCACGGCTGGGCATTTATCAGTTCACTTCGCCTCCAAAGTGAAGTCGGCTGCCAAGGCTCTGCAAGAAAGCAGCCAACGCATGCCGCGAAGCGGGTCAGTGGAGGGCCTGTGTGCAAATGCTTCGCCGCCTTTGCCAAGCACCACATCAAGGCCACGACGACGGGTTGCTTTCAAGAAGTGTACACACAGCACTATGCTTAGTGACGCCAAGTGGCCTAAACAGTGTCTCCAGTCAGGTCTGCAAGCAGACGTTGCGTGAGGCTTAGTCATGCTGGTCCATGCGATCGATGTCTCATCCAATGTCTCCGGGTCCGGCAGGGCATTGAGAGGTTAAAGATGAAGCTTTGTGTCCTGCTTAGCACCCTAAACCCTAAACCCTGCTGGCATTGAGGTGATTTTTGGCACTGTGATGGCCAGTGCTGCCGACCTGGTCTCGGACTCGGCGGCCCCTTGGGACGTGGCCACACTGGCAGCCTGGCCATGAACTGATTAGGGGGATTAGGGCCGGGGGGGGGGGGGGGGGCCTGGTTGACAACAGTTAGATGAATACTTTCAAGAAAGAATACAGCAATACAATACCAGAAGACTGCAATAGTAAGAACAAACTTGTCAATCATCATGTGTAAATTATGTCGAATCGTATATCTAGGAGCTTCAGGAGATTGGTCAGCACTGTCAAAGCAGAGCGCAGATGGGGTTTTCAAGGTCAAGTGGCGACGCGGCTTGCAAGTACTGCAGGGTGCCATGCAGGCGGAGACCACGGTGAGATAGGGTTTAGGGGTTAGGGGTTAGGGTTAGCACTCGTTTGGATGGATTCCTTTGCCAAGCGACTGTGGCCCCTGCGAGGACAGCATTCAGCTTGATGCAGCCCTGGTCCGTACCTGCATGTCTGCCTGTAGTCAGGCTGGCCGCGGGCACGGGCCAACTGTCACGATTTCATGCTACCGGATAGCCCGTCTAATCAGTGCCTGTTGCACGTTGACGACGACGCCGCCTCAGGGGCAGACATGGAGGCATGCTGCCTACCTGCTGACGGACATGCGCTGGAAGACACTGCAAGTCGATTCCACCGCATATGTAGGACCCTCGCATCCACGCAGAAGGGCCCCTCCAGAGCAGAGTGCGTTGCCGTCAGAGAAGGTTAAGAGATCGATAACAAGACATCCTGACATGCCGAAGGAGCGCAATTGGCTGCACTGAACAGCGAGGATGGTTGGCCAGCTACATTGGCGCTGTTCCGATGCTCGTCTCAATGAACTAGCGGATCTCTGTAAAGGAGTGCCTCTGAGCAGTCCATCAACGCAGTAATTGCAGGCAAGGTTGGCACATGAAGCAGCACAAGACCTGATACGGCAAGCCCTAGATGACATACTGATTTTACTAGGCTGCTTCCAGCGGCCCCCTATTGAGAGCGCGAGAAGGTCACTACTCGTAGCTAACTTGCAGGCGATCTTCGACGTCGACCGCAGTTGGGACTGTCCACAGCAGCCCGGAGTTGTTCAGGCACTTCCGTTTCGACTCTCGCTCAACCCTCTTTTGCACACCTCACAGTCGCTACGGGTCTCTTTGTCTCGCTTTGCTCTCTCTTCGTTGAATCCATGGCCACATTCGGCGCCCGGCTTTCTCCGCACATGTCTGATGAAGCGAAGCTGGCCTTCTCTACAAAAGAAAACTCTGAAGAGTGAATTCACAGTGCCCAAGGGGAAGTCCAGGCCCTGAACCTGAGGAAGTGCTGAATTCCGCCATGCTCGCTGCAGAACTCGGGCAAAGGCCCAGCCGGGCTGTGCGCCTACTCCATGCAGCTCCTGGGGCAGCAGGCGGTTCTTGGTGTTTAGGGTTTTATGGCTTTAGAGTTGAGGGTTTAGGGGGGAGGACGACAGCCGCTCTCACTTCACCTTACATGATCCTTGGATCCCTTGCGAGTCGGCCTAGAAGCATCCTTGGCAATCGGCCCCTTTTTGACGATATCTCAACCAAAAAAGATGCCAAGACCGAGTCAAAGCCAGATTGGACCATTTTCGAGGTCCAGCGCCTGGGGCTCGCCGAGCCGAACGTGTTGAGCATCACGACCCATGGCTTTCAGCTTCGGCTCACAGAAAATGTGCCCTTTAGGGGGGTTTTCCGATGCTTAGGATTTGCATGGAAAGTTCCCGCAATGATGGAGTACGAAGAAGGCCTAAGCCCTACGTTCTCGTACAGTAAGCCTCGAGGTCGGGGACTTTGAATGTTGTCCTGGAAGCAGGCCCCAAGAATGCACACACACACACACACGGATGACATTGGAGCTGCGCCTGGGCTGCTGATGGATTACGGGCTGATTGCTGAGGATGGCCATGTCTTGCCTGGATGGCATGATTGATGGAACGGACATTGAACCACCCAGCCGAATGGCAGGGTGGGAGGCAGCCTCCAGGACGCTTCCTTGTGGCTCAGGTGGTCACAGTTTGGGGACTTCTGAGCAGGAGTCTAATCACCCCTGCACTGGCCCTACACCCTGAACATCCCTATAACCCCTAAACCGTGAGCCTCGTAAATTCGGATCATTTTTGCATGGAGCTTAGACCGGTACGCCACAGGATGTTGGACGATTCTCACAAGACTGCCCTGGAGCTTAACACCGTCACCTACACCGCTCTGATAGGCGCAGGGCCTCCCTGCTGACACGTGATTTGCCGGTTGGAGTTTTGATGAGCTTTCATGCTTGGAGGTTTAGGACCATGAGCCTTGGAAAAACACTGCAGTTGGACTTCTCCGGCAGATCAGTTCAAGGGTTCCGGAGTGAGCAATCCACACTGACCATTGTGAGTGGCAGAGGGCTCCGTCGACAGGGAGAACTTGTTTTTATTGGTAGCCGGACTCGGCGTTCTTCGGCTCTGTCGGAAACGAGGTTAAGATGATCCTTTGTTGATGCCTCCCATGCCATCCCATGCCTCGAGTGTTTTTGGCCCTTTGGCAAGGCCTCCAAGAAAGGGCTGGGCGATGGGAGTCCGCACAAGCAGTGATCAAGCATTCGCGCTTGGCGCGGCTGGTCTATGATGCCCCCGCATACCATGCAGAGGCTCAGTTCAAATCATTAGGCGGACCTTTGTTGGGTGTGCTTTTTTCTAGTTTCTGAAAACTTTTTGACTCACGCTGACTGAAGATGCAAGGAGGGTCGGGCATGCTGAGGCCATGAGGGTGCTTTTGGACACTGGGCGTGGAAGGGCACCACGGTTGCAGAGCAGAGGCAAGGCATGACCCCCTTCCGCTGCAAAGTGGCTGAGGACATGCTGGCGCGAGCACCCCCCCCGTGCAGTGAGAACCTCGGAGCAGCCAGTTGAAAGAGCGCCAAGGCTCCGAACTTGCGCAGTTTAGCTGAGCCTACGCTTGTGCTCTACGCTGGCTGACACACTGAATCCTTAAGCTGATACAATTTTTGTTCTTGTCGTTCTTGTTCTGCTTGTGGTTGAGCTGCGTAACCGCCGGCTCATGCAGGCTCATGGTCCCTCTGTCAAAACGCGCCCGTTTCGGCCTTCATGGCATGCAGAGCATTCACAGGTCTCCTTGGGCAGCAGTTCCCAGAGAATCCAGCATCATGGCATCAACCTTATATGTAGTCTAGTTGCACTATGGAGAAGAGAATGTCAAATCAACGCGGGAACTCATGCTGCTAGAGGCAAAGCTAATGCGCATCAGCAGTCGTCTCGACCTTGCTCTTCCAAAGCTGCCCATGAGCCGATCACTACTGCGCTTGCCGCTGGCAACGCCGGTGACACGAACCAAGAAGGCCGATTCGCACCATTCGCACTTGTTTATCTCTAAAGAGTGCTCCTGATCTTCTGCAGAGACATCTGTTGCAGAGGCTCAAAGCCTCCTTTTTGAGGCGGATCCATGGAGTGAATGGTCTTTAGAAGCAGAACTGTTCTGATGTTCACAGAGATGTCTTCAATCAACTATCCAATTGAACAAGACCTTTGCCCCCCTTAGGCAAGAACAAGACTGGAGTTACAACGGAATCCCAAGTGGCCCGGACTTTCAGTGCGAGGAGCTTCTGCACAGAAGCTCGATTTTGCAGGCACTTCCGCGATATCGGCTGGCCCCAAGGCAGGACGACCTGCGGCACGTGACGCGGAGGCAGGAAAACCCCAAACTGTCCACTAGTTGTTGTTCGAAAATGAACGGGGGCTGCCTCCTCAAAGTCTGCCGATTGGTGGCCTGGAGCTTCGGCGGCTGATCCAGTCATAGCCTGCACCTTGAAACATGCTAGGCCCGCTAAGCGCGATGATGGGTAGCCTTTGGCTTCGATCAACACATGAGGTTCTTGATCGCCAGCAGCGATCTGTTTCTGGGACCTTCCCGATAGATGCCCACTTCATCCTTTCAGGGCTTAGGGTTTAGAGTTTAGGGTTTAGGGTTAGAGTTTAGGGTTTAGGGTTTAGGGTGCGGAGCTGCAGTTTGTATTGAAGAAAAGAGTTGGTGTAGAAGGGTTAAGGGTCAATGAACCCGGAACAATTTTTGGCTCAAGATCGGGCCATGCGCCTAGAGAAGAAAGGGTGCTTGGTGTTTTGGGTTGGTTTGTTGTTTGTTGGTCCAGGGGATCAAGGGCTTCTGTTGGGGTTGACTGTCTTGTTCCCTGTCCTCCTTCGGTTGCCCCCGTAGGTTATGAGCCCAAATTAGGTTCCCTGCGGTTTGTGTTTCGGCTTTAGGGTGGTAGCTTGAAGCAATGGCCACCAATTGGCTACAGACTGGTGCGACGCCATCAAGCTCCAATGTGGGCGAGCAAGGTGAAGGTGGTGTCAAAAGGTCTGCAACAGGTGAAAAAATAGTTCCCAATGCGGAAGCTCTGGTTGATGCTGGTGGTAAGCGTGGCGAAGAGAAGCTGGTGGTGGAAGGACTGGAAGACCAGATGGAAGTAGCTTTGCTACGCCTTCTGAGCAAACATGGGCTTTGTCTTCGAGCTGCGGAACCTGCGGAATCAACGGGAGCGTCAAGAACAAGCTCCTCTACATCGAAGATGGTGGAGCAAGAGTGCCAGACAGAGCTGGTTGGGGATGTTATCCCTGTTTCCAAGCGAGCTCGCAACAAAGTGAGCTTCGCAACTGGAAGTGGCGATCTGTCGACAGGTGAAGCGGAGGAAACTGCGCCTGTTGCTGCGACAAAAAGCAGTATCCTCGTTCCTGGGGACGCAGAAGGAGTCGTTCCTGTTGCTATGGTGATGAGTGAAGGAGAAATCCTGGAGTTGGAAGCAGCGAGAATACGGCAGGAGTCAGAGGAAGACTTAGATGCTGCTGGGGGAGACAAATTGTCTCAAGCTGCTGACTTTTCGATCATCGACTGCGATGGGAAGACGTGGGAGCGCCATTTTCATGATGATGGGAGAGAATATCTTTACTGTTTAGACACTGGAGATACCCAATGGGTGGTGCCTAAGAAGACTGGAATGGCTGGAAACAGCGAGGGGCCAGGTGTTGGAATGGGCATTGTCCCTGTGGGAGATGAGCCAGCGCTGGGTGCTACCTCGTCCCCGTCACCTACTGAGTCTTCTAGGGCACAGCAGGGTAGCATGGAAAGTGTGAACAGCCGTGTAAATAGTGTAAGTGAAAAGGTTTTTTCCTCTACTATCGGGGATAGCGGTCTTAGGGGTGGTGCTGATGCCCAGACCTCGGGTTCTCCTGAAGAGGAAGGAATTTCTGGAAACCAAGCAGACATCGCTGGAGAACATCTGGATCGGGAAGAAACGGAAGCGCTTTCTGAGGGTGTGGCAGCGGTGGAATCTGTGGGTCCAGAGGACAAAATGCCCAATGCGGAAATTGGAACTGTGTCGGCTGCAGAAGAGCGAGTGGTGGATGTGGTACCTGTCGTTCAGGAAGATGGTCCTGGAGATTTGGATGACGGAGGGAAAAAATCGTGCGTTACGACTGAGGAGGTCTCTTCGTCTGGTGCCAAGAGTTCTGCCATTCAAGGGAAAAAGGAAGCTTCTGAAACTGCTGGAGACACGGTCGATCGGGAAGATGAGGCCTGGAGCGCCAATGAAGCGCGGGTCAATGTGCCAGATAGTACCTGGAGTGCAGAAAAAGCACGGGTTGAGGCGCATATGGTGTCACGTTCCGCGGATGACTGCAACAATGGGGCGCAGGTCTCCGTAGCAGCTGATGATGGAGGTTCACAGGTGGACGCACTGGTGCAGCCTGAAGTTAGCAGCGAGGAACGAAATGGCGAAGGCTACACCGGAGCCAATGTGGCAGCTGTGGTCAACGACAGTGGTGATTCTCTTTTGGAAACCATGGAGCCAAAGGAGCCTGCGGTGGAAGAAAATATGCCTACCGCGGATGACCAATCCAATAGCCCTGTAGTGGAAGAAAATTTGCCTGCTGCAGAAGGTTTGAAAAAGGACTCCAATGGTGGGTCCACTCCCAGGAAGGGAGAAGTGTTGCCATCTGAATGCTTGCCGGAAGTCGACACCGAGCGAGCTGTAACGGATGAGGCAAAGCCATTGGCTGGAAAAGAGGATGGTTCTGACCTCCAGGAGCACAAGGTGGATGAGCTTGTGGGACTCGTGGAGCAGGACAAGAAGTTTGCCCCCAAGGTGGAACCAAGGGACGTTCCGGGAGCCGAAGAAACAATTCCGGTTTCTGAAGAACCAACGAAGAAAGTGCCCAAAGAGGGAGCCTTGGATACACCTGGGAAGCATTTCTACCAAAAGGGAGATCGGATCAATGGTCTAGTGCGCTGCATCAATGTACATGGAGCTTTTTTGGACCATGACGGTATAGACGTATTGATTCCTGCGGAAGGGAAAGATACACATGCTTTCAAAATTGGTGACACTGTCAATGGAACAGTGGAAAGAGTGGATGATGATGGTACCGTGATCTTGGATACCTTCCTGGTTTTGGAGGAGGATGAGGAGGACTCCTCTTCGACGCTGCGCAAATGGAAAGACAGCGGCTGGGGTACATGGTGGACAGGCTCATGGCAGACTGGTCAATGGTACCAAGGTTCCGACGGTCAATGGGACTGGAAGTCGGAAGAACGGCAGTCCCGTGAGTGGTTTGCCGATCCAAAAACATCCTCTAAGGAACAAGAGGAAGCTGAACAGAGGCAGCTCTATGGAGAAAAGATCTATAGAAATCTCCTGGAAGATGAAACAATAGATAAGGACTATGTGGGCAAAATCACTGGGATGTTGCTGAGTCGTCCAATTGACGAGATTATGGAGTGTGTCGCAGATCATACATTCCTGAACACTGAGGCTCGGCGTGCATACAGCATCTTGCAAAGTGATGGTTGGAAGCCCGATGGGACAGAATGTGCAGGTTTGGAAAAAAACAATCACCTTTTCCCGGAAGCAGTACCACAACGCGCTCTACGAACTGGCACGCAAGAAGAGGAGATTTAGTGGACCAGTCGTGGGTGAAACAGTGGCAATGTTGCTAAGCCAAGGGAAAGATGAGCTTTGGAACGAGCTGTGGTTGGATACCAAGCGTTTTCTGCAGGAGCTTGATGGTGCAATCGAGGAGATGAGTAAGAGGGAAAACAGGCCAATGGAAGCCTATATGGATCCTGATCAGTACAAAAAGGCTCACATGACTCCAAAGACTGTGTCACCTGGATACAGCAAGCTGTGCAAGTTCTTCAATCAGGGAAGGTGTCGCAACGGTGATGAGTGTTCCTATGAGCATCGTCGTTATGGTGAAGGTTGGCCAGGGGGTGGACCAACTGAGCCAAAGAACAGCCAAAAAGCTGGAGATGAGGATGGGAACATTGGTGACCCCCCTACAGAGGAAGGCACAGTGGATGAGGCACAGCAGGAGCGGGAGGATTCAGCCTTCCGGGCCAAGTACAACTTTGGTAAAGGTGCATCAAAGGGTGAACCTACGTTGGGTGAGCCAAAAAGTCGGCTGTGTCTGTATTACAATCAAGGTGGTTGTAAATATGGGACTACCTGCAGGTATCTTCACGACGATGACATAGCATTGGAAGGGACTTGGGAACCCGGCAAAGCTTGAGACAATGCTTCCAGGAAGGCACTAAGGGACGCGGGGTTCCACCATTGCTGTTTCGATTATTACCTCAGAGGACATTGCCGTAAGCGGTTCAATTCCTGCAGATTTTCCCACGACGAGATGTCAGATGAGCGGCTGGCGCACCTGAAACACGTGGTACACGTGGCCAATCAGATCCGGTTTGAAAGAGAGAGAGGATTGGAGATTTCGGACAGGAGCACTTTTCAGCCACCTGCGAGTGGGGGAGCTGAATCTTCATCGTCCTCAGCACCACAAGCGTTGCAAATGACCAATGTGTCAAAGAAAACAGGTGAGGTTGATACGCTGGATGGAAC